AATAAGGTTCATATCAATTTTGATTTGGAATCCAAGGGGTTTTAGCTTAAATAAAACTTAAAAATTGAAATAATCCGCAAACTGTTCTTGGAATGAAATAAATATTAAAAAAATAGAGGATTTATTTATGGATTCAGGATTTAAATCCAAATAACGTAATGGATTTATGATTGAGGATTTAGATCCAGTTTATGGTGTGGATTTATGGATTTAGATTTAAATCCTTTTTGCCGGATCTTGCCCATCCCTGAGTAAGACGCTCTTGGCTGACATATTTCTATATACGAACTATATATGTTGAAAAAGTCGACTATAGAATAGATTTCTTCATAAGCCTAGTGAATTGATAAACAGATGGCGCTAATATATTGTGTCAAATTTACAAATATACATACAGGGTGTCCCAAAAGTCAACGATATACTTTGAAGGACTCATAGGTCAGCTCATGACTAATCAGAATATCAAAACATGACCTTGGTAAAAAATCATTAGTTTTTAAGATTTTGGCATTTTTATGAATTTTGTGAAACTTGACACAAAAACCCTGAATGGTTTTTTTTTCATAATATTTAAGTATACTTGTACAACAAATTTTTAAATGTACTTTATTTATGAAAAAAAATAAACTTTATTATTATTATTATTATTATTAATAGGATTAATTACAATTCAAAATTAAATTAATAGCAGATTTTGTAGCTGTAGCACTCGAAAAACTAATCTAAAGTGTCAAGTTTTACAAAATTCATAAAATGACAAAAACTAACGATTTTTTACCAAGGTCATATTTTGATTTTCTGCTTTGTCATGAGTTGGTCTATCAGTCTTCCAAAGGATCTCGTTGACTTTTGGGACACCCTGTATAAAGATGATATTTTATTTGACTTAAGTTTAATGTAAACTTCTAGAGTACAACTTGATTATAAATAACATCTATCAAAATTGTAAAAAACTTTAAGGCCCCCCCCTAGACGAATTCCTTCCGGCGCCCATGAACACGATATTAAAATTGTTTAAATGCTGTGATTCAATGATATTTTTTACATTATCAAACCAATATTTATGGGTAAATTTGTTGTCAAAAAATTTTTTTGACATCAACTTCGTGATCAGCGACCTCAAAAACCCCTATAGAGATGTATTTTTTATAGCAAAGACGCATTATACCAAGTATGCGCCATAATTTACCGAAAGTTGAAAATTCGAGTTTTTTTCAAAAAATCGCCCCGCTCACCAGAATTGACCAAATTGAGTCCAGTTGCCTGCATTCAAAAGAGGACGATTGCCGCTATCTATACTATACAGCACCCCTCGGGAAAATGAAAACAACCCTAAAAATTAGAGGGTTGAATCTTGAAAATGACGCGTTTTTCACGATTTTTTCGCATTTAAACCTAAAATTCACATGTTCTTACTTGACCAAAAAATCTGAAAAAAATTCAGGGGACTACCATACATCCAAAACAAATTTTTAATTGCGTAAAACCATTTAAAAATAAATTAAACTGGTTGAAAAAAATAAAAATCACAAAAAATCATATTTTTCGCCATTACTGTGTTTTCGTTTGGGGTTGTAATGTCGGTAAAAGGCTTATACTGCTTGTTTTTCGACCCTCTTCAAGATTTTTGGAACGATTTTACCAGATTCGGTGGGGGCCGCCAGACCCCCCTTAACCCGCTACCCCCTTTGGGTGTTTAGTTGGAATATTCTAGAGACATTGAATTTATGATTGGCTGCATTGAGTAGAACAAAATAATATAGTGGAGATAATAATTGTGGTTCTGTTATAATTATATGAGGTTAAAAATATTCATAAATTTTAAAATGTTTTTTAAAATAATATTTGATAAATGTTAAAGTATTTAAAATAAAGGCCTTAAGGAGTACCAATTTAAAATATTAAAAATATCAAAATATATTAAACTCGACGGCAATATCCTTATGCTTAGTAACCTACAAATTCACTAAAGCATTATCAAATATAGCAATTGCTACGTTTCCTTATTTTTTAGTGCCCGAATGTTATAAGACGCAAATTCATTTTTAATTTTTTTGACTGCAACTTTAAACGAAAACTCGTGGAGCATAACATTATTCTTTAATAAGAAATCCACGATTTAATTTTTCCTAACCTTAAAATTTATGTTACACCCTAAAGAGAACCAAAGGTATATAAATAAAATAATATTAAAATAAATTAAATTAATATGAGTATAAAAAATGTCAATGTAATAATGTTGTTGTATTTTTAATGAAAAAAAAAAAACAATATAATATAGTTAGATGTATTTTTAAACACCTGAAAAAAATTACCATAATTAAACTGTTTTGCAAGGGGCAAAAGCGACTTCCTTATAAGTACTAAATTAAAAATAAATGTTAACATGTTAAAACTCTATGTTAGAATAATAAAATAAATGTAAATGTGTTCTACTTAATAAGATGTTTTTCGAACATTTCTTGATCGACACCATATGCTTTATTGGTCATATCATAAAAATAAGTAGCATTATATTTTTTTAAGGACCGACACAAATCAAATAATAAATTTTAAAATATGTTAAGTGTCCATTAAATTGATAAGCCATTTATAGTTTTTAAATTATCTTAATTTAAGTTTAATATGTATGGCCAAGAAGCTATTAATCATCATCAAATCAGTGTCATTTTCTCCTGTGATGGTTATCTATAGGAAAGGATTCATGTGGTGGTTGTGCATTTTGCTCAAAATTGGTTACTCAAATTATTTTATTTTAAAACAAAGAACTGCCCATTTTGGCTTAACAGGGTGTAAAATTGTTCATTAGACACCTTTTATACAATATTTTTAAATGGTCATGTTAATGATTTTTTAACCAAAGTTGAAATATAAAGATTTGCAATGTTACTTCTAGATTATTTGGCAAGCTGGTCTACCAAATACAGTTTTAAAAATAGTATTGTTAATGTTTATAAATGTCAAATACGCATATAAAAATAAAGTAATGTTTTCGTCTTCCACATAAAAGCCTTTGAAACATATTTAAACAAAAAAATTAAATTTATTTACCTAAAGACAACCTGTATCTTTTATTATTATTATTTTTATTATTATTATGTTAATAAAAACCGTTTTACATTTTTGGTTTAAAATTCTTCAACAAACCGTTCTCAGTTTTCAAACAGAAAGGTTGATCCTTTTAAGGAGATAAAATTGTTTGAGTACCTTAAACATACATTTTTTGTAAATAGTGGAATGTGTATAGCGGTTTTTAGATTTTATCAATCAATATTACATGTTTTTAATTGGACAATCTTATGCACAATTTCTAAATAAATAAAATCGTTTCTTCATTTAATACTCTTTCAATAATGTCAATAGGCTGAATGTAATGGAAAATTTATATTGTCAAATTTCAAGATGTTGTTTATATCAACTAAGTATTTCTATATTTATTGTCTAAAAACCTTCTTTTTAAATTGTCGATGAAAACCACATACATCCAGAATATTAAAATGTTCACAATTAAATAATCATTGGTCAATCATAAGCAAAATATTCTGGGTGATTAATGGTTTTTATTTTCTTCATCTTTTCTAATATATTTATGTGTATATAGTTCGAACACAAAATAAAATTGTATATGTGTATGAGTATGACTACTTAGTTTAGGAAAAACAATTAAAGATGGAGGTAAAAAGAAGGAATTCGGATTATTAAACAAAAAATGTCCAGCGACACGTAAATTTGTATCAACCACCTAAGGTTGTGTAAATTGAGAGTTATATTTTTGCAGGTCGTTGTTCAAATTTACGTTTCGTCAGTTCATCATATCATTATTGTAAAAGAGCAAAGATTAATAAAATGTGATATGTTTAAATAAGGCGTTTTATTTTTAATACAATTATATTATCTGTTATGTGGGTTAAATGTTGAATTACCAATTAAATTAAATTAAAAACAGGACTCAAGCTATGATGGTTTCTTAAATCTATTTTAAGGTTATTTAATTATTTAAAACCCACCATAACTCAAAACTGTTGCGAGTTATGGTGTTCTTAAAAATGTGCAAAATATTAAAAATGTTCCAAAATATAAAAATGTTATGAAAATGTACCAAAATAGTCTTTAAAGTACTTCTGTACTTCCAAAGCACCAAATGTACCAAAGAGGTGCAAACGCACCACCTCTGCATACCGCCAGTGTTGCCAGAGGTTGAAGAAATGTTAGTATAGTAACATTTCTGGTAAGGGGCCGTACGTCACAACTTTGTAGGGAATTTCGCTCACGATGTCTCAAAGTTTACCCCCTCCCCCTAAGCGTGTGACGTACTTTGTGATATACTACTAAAATTATAATTTTTTTTTTGAATAAAAATATTTTATTTTACCATTATTTTAAATTATATAATCATATTTGAATTGTGAACAATGATTTTTATACATTTATTTCTAAAAAATGGATAAACATTTGTAATGCAATATAAATTATTAGTAGAAAATTAATACTACATTTATTTAATAAACTCCCTTTTAAAAAACCTGGTGATTTCTGACCCAAAAATAAGACAAATAGTTCCTATCAACATGGGCCTGCAAATGCTTTGTTTAAAAGGAACAATTTTTTTCGTTTTTTTTAACTCTAATTAATTCAGAGGAGAATTCTGAAAATGCAATCAACATTTGAAAAAGAGAAAAGATTATTTATTTGTTGTTTTAGAATCGGCCATAGCATGCTAGATTTTTGTACTTATGCATGTATTGTATTGTATGTACATGTATTTTAACAATGATATTTAACAGAATAATAAAATTGCATCTTCTAAACAAAGCCTACTTCAAAAAATATTAAGACATGCTTTTAGTCATTTAAATTTATAACAAATTCTGCTATTAAAAGGTGAAAAAGGTAGTGGCGTACATATTTTTTGTTAAAGTTTGGGCACCCACATACTTTTCCCAACCCAAATTTTACTAAAACCACTAGTTGTATTGGAAATATAAAATTTTAACAACCTGTACAGGTCTTTACAACAAAGCATCTGCGGAGTCATGTTAATAGAAACTATTAAATTTTATCTCATTTTTGGTGAAGAAATTACCACACAAGCAATGGAACCCTGTATATATACCACCTTACAAGTTTGACTCCTGTACAACTACAAAGTTTGATTTATCTTGATTTGTTGCCTCCAAGAGTTGTTCTGGTATATTTAATGGATTTATTATAGTTTTTTTCTAAAAAATAAAACTGTTATAACATACCTTTAATAAAATAACTTCTTTTACCTTTTCAAGTTCATGATTTCCGCCAAGGTCCTCAAAGTCAGTAAGGCTATTTATGTACTCTTTGTAAAGTTCTAAGTCTTGATTTTTTAAGTTTACAGATAATCTCCTCAAACATTCATAAAAAAAATGATTTGTTTTTGGGTCCATTTCTTTGGAAGCCAATCCATAGGATATATCTGATAGGACCTTGTAGCAGTCACTGAAAAAATAAAATATTATTTTTTACTACTTAAATACCAAATGGATGTGTTACTCACCTAATATTAATATCATTTTCTTCATGCTGAGTAACTTCTTCAAACAATGCTATGTATTTCAAAACTCTGGGTAAAACATCCAGTATGGAATACCTGTGCCTCAGATTTATTTGTTTTATTAATTTTTCCCATTGTTTTAATGGTGAAGGGTTCGAGTATTCATTTTGTCGCGCCTTCCCAAGTGTCATGTATTTATTTATAATGTTTTGTATTTCAGGCAACGATTTTTCCGGTATTTCTTTGTGTATTAAATCCAAATTATATGATCCATGTGTTTTTAAGGCAAGAAGTAGCCTTCTTTTATCTGCCTCAGACCAATCAGACACTAAAAATACATACAACATACAACGATTTTAGATAATAATTGTATTTATTTTACTTCTGGAATTGGCACAAAAACAAATAAAAGACCAAACTTTAAAAATCAATTTTAATAAAAGTGGTTTACCTACAAAGTTTAAGTCTTAAAATTCAATGATAATTTTTGTAAAATACATAAAATAACACATAAATTGTATAAATATAATAAAAACTTAAATTTACAAACACTAAAGATTTTTATAGTCATTTAAAATGTTTTCCATAATTTGGAATGAATTTAGAAAATATTCAGGCTCAACACCAAATTTTTTGTAATGATGTAAATAAGCATTATTAGTAAACAAATTCCAAGCATCTTCAACAATACAATTCAAAGGAACAAAAATATTATTGTTGTTAACAACATTAGTTAAAGATTTACTTAAACTTAAAAAATTATTTATATCGTGATAGTTATTAAAGCTATCAGTGGGCTGTAACCAGGAAACATACAAATTTTTGTCTTTTAAAGGCACTAAATCTTTATCACATAATTTTTCAGATCCTCTTGAAATTAAAACACTTGAAATGTTTTTGACTTTTAATGGCACTTTATTTTGTTCTTGCTGAGTGTATTCAAAACGTGATTGCTTCGATAAAGAATTTACTAAAGGCTTCCACAAACGTTCACTTTCAAATTTTATGCTGTCTTTGTGAAAATTTGGCTCAGTCCTTATTTGAAGATATCGATACTTTGGATGTGCACTTAAATGATTCAAAATATCACAAGTATTTAAATTATTTACAGGTTGAAACACTGAAGCCAACTGGTGAGATATAAGTGTATTAATATTTTCAAATGTAACTTCCTTAATATCTAGAGAATAATTGCAATTGTAATGCATTCTTTCATTTTGGAATAAAATTGTATTATCGGCCAATGAATACAAATGAGACAATGACAACACACTATTGTAACTTTGTGTTACAATCTCTCCTCTCATATATGGCAACACAATTGCATTTGTAATATTCTTTGAAGGATATTCATTTCTTATGCACTCAATAATAAAACTCCCTAATCCTGATCCTGTTCCGCCTGATGAACTAAATATATTCAGTATACTCGTTAAATAATCACACTTTTCTACTTGTGACCTAATTGTGTCCATTATTTCCGTTTTAAGGGTTTGATTAGTGTTGGTATATCCATATGCCCAGTTGTTTGCTGAGCCCCCAAGACTCTTGGCAGCTACATTTTTAAATTTAAACGGTAATTTGTTTGTTGAATTTACTGCTTTAAGTTCTGTGTCAACTAAAACTGATAGAGGTTCCCATTTTTCGTTTCTTGTTACATTAAACCACTTATTGACAGCTTTTTTGTAATATGGACCAGTTTGATCTTTCGATTTAATATCATCGTAAATTGTGTTATACAGACAATTTCCTATTTGATTTCCGCACTGTCCAAATTGCACACAAACAATACTCATTTTTAAAAAACAAACGGTTAATTTTTAAACTTGACTTTTAAGATTTAGGTTATGTAGTGAGGATAATAACAAAGAAAATTATTAAAGGCATTTCAGGAAATTTAAGTCTACGTGTACTTACTTCTGAAAAAAATAATTCATTAAACTGGATTTATATAGTATTTATATCCCCAGATTCTTAAAATTAAATTGTTTTCCTAAAATTTGGCATTGCCGGTAATGTAGAGAATTGCAATATTAAGAAAGCGCACTGTGTTTGATGCCACCACTAATTTAAATAGAGTACACTCATAAACCTATAAAAGCTGGAAAAATATTTTGATGCGTTTTACACACAATTCACACAACAAGGTCTGTTCCATTTCGTACTAAAAATACTAAAAATCACTGCAACACTGCACAGAGTTTAACGCCGGCCATTTTTGTTGTTTACAATTCTTGTGCTTTGGGTTTGTGCTGTTTAATAATTGTTTTACTCCTCTTTTATAATAAATATACCTTATTCTATCAGAGCTGTCAAATGACAATTTGAAGGTTAATTTGTGGGTTATAATTTAACCTTAAAATTGACATTTGACAGTTTTATGACAGCCCTGATGGAATAAAGTTTATTTTTTACAATAGAGGAGTAAAATGGTTGTTCTTAGAACTTTAAGGAATCTTTTAAGGCTTAATATGAAAAACACAACGTTTAAAACGATTAATAATCTGTATAAACAGAGCACAAAACTAAAGCACAAAAAATGTAAACAACAAAAATGGCCGCCGTTAAACTGTGCAGTGTTGCAGTGATTTTTTTTTATTTTTAGTACGAGATAGAACAGACCTTGTTGTGTGGATTGTGCCTATAACTATAGTTATAGGTATATGGTTTATACAGATTAATAATCGTTTTAAACGTTATGTTTCTTACAGCACTTGTAAGCCTTAAAAGTGCTAAGGCCCAGTAAGCACCAAACACTCGGCAAACAGTCGGCCTTCGCTCGGCATAGGCGGTTGACCGGCGGTTCGGCTTGCCCCCAGTCGTTCCGCTTATGGCCCGCATTATGTTAGCCCGGTACCGTTTGGCCATGTTCTAACCAAAGTCGGCCAGAATACGGCATGCCGCTGCAAAATCGTTCGGCTTGCCCTAGCCGGCCCGCTTACGGCCGGAATACGGCCTGCCGAGGCATAAGCAATACATCTTGCGTCTGTAATGGCATAGCTGAACAACAATCCTTAATTCTAAATCCTAAATTCAAAATTTTAATTCCAAAATCGTAAAACAACAATTTTTTCAAAAGGGTTTTTTTAAATTTTTCCCTTAATAGCCATCATAAAAAACTATAAAAAAATCATAACCTGACAGTCCTTAACATCTACACGCAAAACATATTAACAATATTGCCCCTGAATCGCGTTAGCGAAAGGAATGGCGAACTGCAAATAAATTCCAAATTGTGAGATAGATTTCGAGTAGGCCAAAACATCGGCCGTTGAAATGTATATACAGTGCTTGCAAATCCAACTCCGACCGGGCTGAAAAGGACGACTGTTCAATACCCGCGTGAAAAGAACAAGGATAGAACGCCAAATAGAATTTGATTGGCCAGAGCCGGATGCGTGCGAATTGTAAGCGAGGTCAACTCTGGCAGCCAGTCTGGCTGCATTAAGCCAGCTGCACAATAGCCCAGTAACGGGAACGGGAACGGGAATCCTAACAATAAAGGTGGGAGAGACTCGCCAAACAACGCCATTAGTTACAGAAGACAATTTTCATCCGGCGCTTATTATAAATTATCAAATAACCACATCTAAAACATTCACGTTTTCAAGTAATGTAAATCATAAAACCTATAATTTTAAAAAAGCCAACTTTAACTTAATTTACGATGCTTTATTAGATGTTTTTGCCGATGTTAATGAAATGTGTGAACAGTTCTATAGAACATTTCATTAACATCGGCAAAAACATCTAATAAAGCATCGTAAATTAAGTTAAAGTTGGCTTTTTTGTATACAATAAATTATTTACCCTTTTGGGCACATATGTTCCCACCTATAAAACTAGAAAAACTCAGTACCTGATTTGGTATAATAGTGATATAATACACAACTTAAAACTAAAATTGCATTACTATAACCTTTATAAAAAATCTAAAAGTAACTTTTATTACCAAGAATTTTCTAGGATGCGAGCCTTACTACAATAACTACCTAATTAAGATAAAAAATAATATCACAACTGATCCTAAACAATAGACCTATCCCATAAAACAGACTTTTGGATAGCGCGTGCCTGAAGAAGAGTGGTATCTCTTTCTCTTTTATATAATTAAAAAAAGACGACGTGCCTTTTCACGCACGCGCTATCCAAAAGTCCGTTTTATGGAATAGGTCTATTTTGGAGCTATATCCGTTCAAAAAAGGCCTCTTCCCGTATTCCAGGTATGGTTTATCTTCACGATAGACATTTAGCACAGCCAATGGATATTGTTGAGGGTTTTGCAGATTATTTTAAGAGCGTATTCTTGTCTCCCAGTATTGATTATAACCTTATAACTAACTTTAGTAATCAGTCTATTAACTTAGGCTCTTTCTTTAGTAATGATATTCTCAAATCAATTAATAAATTATCCAATAAAATGACTTCGGGGCAAGATCAAATACCAAGCTTTTTTTATAAAAGATTGATCCACTGTTTTTGCAATCCCACTAACAATAATCTTTAATAGTATTCTAAAGTTCCAAACGTTTCCTGAAAAGTGGAAAGAGGCCAAAGTATGTCCGATATTAAAATCTGGTGATCCTGCAGATATAACAAACTATCGCCCTATTTCAATTCTTAATAACTTCGCTAAGGTCTTCGAGATGTCCATATATGAACGCCTCTACTACCAGCTAAAATCAGTTATTGCTTCCCAACAACATGGCTTTATTGAAAGACGTTCTACATTACAAATTACTAATGTTATTAACGAACAAGGACAGGTTGATGTTGTGTACACGGACTTCTCGAAGGCTTTTGACACAATTGATCATAGAATTTTATGCTGCAAATTGGAAGAATATGGTTTTTGTGATTCGCTTGTTGCACTTTTACGTTCCTATTTATATAATCGTAAACAATTTGTGGTATATAACAGCTTTAAGTCTCAAGCTTACTTCGCTACGTCAGGAGTTCCACAAGGATCCAATCTTGGTCCTCTTTTATTAACAATTTATATTAATGACCTAACGAGTAAACTTGATTGTAAAAGTTTGTTGTATGCAGATGATCTAAAGATTTTTAACAATATAAAAGGCGAATCAGATTGTATAAGTCTACAGTCACAGATTGATACTATTCAGTCATGGTGTTTAATTAATAAGTTAGGTATGAATGTTGGTAAATGCAAAGTCTGCTCGTACACTTATAAACAAAATGCTATTATTTACATCTACCATTATAACAATACCCAGTTAGTTCGATGCAATGAGGTTAAAGATTTGGGTTTATTGTTTGATTCTAAGCTCACTTTTTCCGCACATATCAATAACATCGTTGTGGCTTCTTTAAGATTGTTGGGATTTATTATAAGAAACTATAAGACATTTACAAACATAACCGCCTTAAACTCATTATATTTTTCTCTAGTAAGGTCGAAACTTGAATATGGTGCCTTAATATGGAATCCTATTTTTAACACCTATATAAACTACATTGGAAATGTTCAAAGAAGATTTTGAAAATTCTTATCTTTTAGAATAGATGGTTTTTACCCTCCAAGAGGTACAGATCATGCACAACTGTTAACCAGACACAATTTTACATCTTTGCGTATCAGAAGAATACTTTTATCTATTACTTTTTTATTTAAACTTTTGCACAACTTAATTGACTCACCATTTCTACTAAGTAAAATTAATTTTTTAGTGCCCAGACCAAATTTACGAAGTCACCCTGCTTTTTACTGCAGGCTAGCGCGAACAAATGTTTTGCTTAGGTCGCCAATTTATAATATGTGTTCCAAGTTTAATGTAATATCCGAGCTAGTTGATATACACAATGATTTCTTAAAATCAATCCTGGTTGTAGCAACTGAATATTTTATATAGTTTTTCTTTATTTTTTCCCTTTTTATTTTTTAGTTTATTTTGTTACATTTGGGTTTTTGCATGTAGGTATTGTACTTATTTTTTATTTTTAGTTAGGCTCTGGCTTAAACTTATTGTAATTATTTTTTAGTTTAGCTCTTACTTAACCTTAATTGTTGTCCTATTATTGGAGTTGTTATTCTGTTGGACAATAAAGATTTTTTATTATTATTATTATTATTATTATTATTATTATTATTATTATTAAAAAACCACTGTTGATAGATAGGGTTCGCTGAGTCTCTCCCACCGTTTAGTTTCTCGTTTCTCGTTTCCGTTCCCGTTCCCGTTACCGGGCTGTTGTGCAGCGGGCTTAAGTGTTAAGCATTCCATGCGGCGGAATGCATCGGCAGGGAATTGCTCGTTTCCCCGTCGCAGCTTAAATTGACGATATCCATGGCGACGCCATGATGGCGTCTTAGCACATTTCGTGCCGTGGAAGCTAAAATATCAAACTCCCTAGCCACCGTACTTAATGCCTGGGTTGGGTTTTCTGCAATTGACGCGCAAATTAAAGTATCCCGCGCTTCTCTATTTAGATTTTCCTGGGGAGGACGTTCCCGTCGGAGCTGCATCGGAACTACACAACCTTACGTGAGAAAATTATTAATGGTTCGTCGAATTGTTTCTCTGTTTGGTCTGGCCTCGAACATTCCCGCAAATATTTTTCGTTCAGAATTACCAGCAAAATGCCAGATTAAATTCTGAACTTTTTGTTCCAGCGTGTACATTTTTTAATTAAATAATCTTTTTTACTAAAATTACTACCTCTTGCTGGCACCACTGCAGTTCTCGTTCTGATATCCTCGTGTCAAGCACGCTGCGAGGTGCGCGGTGGGTATGCGTTGTCGTAGCCTGCCGGCTCTATTATATAGTAATATAATATATAATATATATATTATATAGTAACCTCCTTTATGAATGAACATTACGTGCCAGGCACATTTGTTTTGTTCGTTTTATTTATACACTTTTTACATATCGTCCCCGTTCTGGCAAAAGTCATTAACTCCATTTTTGTCTAAAAGTAGTTGACTACCTTCGCGATCATAGAACAATTATATCTGTGGTCTAGAAGAACTTATTAAGTGCAGAATTGTATTTTTAGAATGCTAAAAATACAATACTGCACTTAATAAGTTTTTCTAGACCACAGATATAATTGTTCTATGATCGCGAAGGTAGTCAACTACTTTTAGACAAAAATGGAGTTAATGACTTTTGCCAGAACGGGGACGATATGCTTGAATTTATTTTACAATATTATATACTTTTTACATTAATATGAATAAATATTTTTGATTTGATTTGATTTGATTTGAACAACAATTGTTTGAAGTCCCCATCTCCATCCTCATCTGCTCAGTAACGAATAATGGCTAGCTATAGTCGAGTGTGTTAAACAAGAGGTTAAACCTACAGGATATACCTATCCAGGACGTCTGAAGGCTTTTTTTAAATTGCCAGGCTGTTGTGGCCGGCACTCGGGCAACTATACACAGCCGACACTCGGCCGAGTAAACATAGCCGAGATTCGGCCAGGCGGACAGATTATACTATCGCTAACAAAAAAAACTCATACAGCTTAAAAATCTAGTGTTCCTGATTTTCTATCATTTCGTCAGAGTAATTATGGCTTTTAACACGATACGTCACATTTGAAAGGTCTAAAATTAAATACAAAGTTAGGTTGAAGTTTGAAAAAAAATATAATATTTCGTCATCCCTCTGTTTTTGTCAATTACTGCCCGCAAACGGCAAAGCATGGAAGTCGCCGTCTTGCTTTACCTCGTTCCAAATGGCTTCAATGGCTTGCCAGAGTTCGTCTGCATTGTTTGGTTGAAAATGTTGTTAAAAAAGTCATAATGGATGTGACAAAGCTCGATGTCAGCTTGACATTGACGGAAAAGTTTTATTCACACAGCCACAATATAGCTGTATGAGTTTTTTTTGTTAGTGATAGTACAACCGGTTTACACGCCGGAACAAATACATGTCGGACGCACGCGGCCGATTCGGCAAAACGTATTCGGGCCATATGCGGGCCGGCTAGCTTGTGCTTACTGGGGGGCAACCATTTTACTTCTATTTAGTAAAAAATAAACCTTATTTTATCAGGGCTGTCGTCAAATGTCAATTTTAATGTTAATTCACCATAACCTTAAAATTGACATTTGACAGCTCTGATAGAATAAGATCTATTTTTTACAAAAGAGGAGTAAAATGGTTGTTTTTAGCACTTTAAGGCCTCTTTTAAGGCTTACAAGTGCCTCTGTAAGAAACACAACGTTTAAAACGATTATTCACAGAGGAGATTACTCTGAGAGATCTACTCTGTGCGATTATCTGTATAAACACCATCACACTGTGATGATCACAGATTATAAAGAACAGCATAAACAGATAAACAGAGCACAAACTCAAAGCACAAGAATTCTAAACAACAAAAATGGCCGCCGTTTAACTCTGTGCAGTGTTGCAGTGATGTTTAGTATGCGCGAAACGAGATAGAACAGACCACAATTGTGTGGATTGTGGATTTACCTACATTACAAAAACTTATAATTGGAAACGTAGGTATACCAATTATTGTTGCATTAATACTATAGTATTAATGCAACAATAATTGGTTTACATATAGCCCGTTCAGAATATATTCTGATTCAGAATTTCTGAACGGGCTGTATGTAAACCGAATATATATATAGGTATATGTATATATGGGGCGTGGCCTCGCCTCCCTCCAAGGCGCGTCACAGTAGCTTGTGTGATAAACGACATGACGAAAGGTCGAGCAGGTAGAGACTTAAAAAATTAAATGATTATAATGCAAAAAATCTCATTAGCGATGCAGGCTATTTGCTTAGCTACTGTGTCGCGCGTTGGAGGGAGGCGAGGCCACGCCCCATATATATATAGATATATTCGGTTTTATTCTGAACGGGCTGTATAACTATATAGTTAGTTTATAATATAAATAAGAGATACGAAACATATTTCAGATTTAACCAATAACCTATAAAATAAACTTTAAAGCATACATTTGTAAAAGTATCAACATATTAAATACAGGATGAATGTTTTAAATGTTTAATACAGGGATCCCGAAAACTATATAGAAAGAAATTGAACCTATAGGTTCAATTTCTTTCTCTATAGTTTTTAGGTGTACCTTCAAATCTTTTAACAAAATCTTTGAGCCCCCATTCAAGCAGAGTAACTTTGAAAGCAATTACTATGTTCTGTAAAATTACCGCAAAACAATTGTTAAGAAACGCCCTTTTTCTTCTATAAACGATTCAATATAATCCTCAATTTCCCGTGAGAAATAATAAATGACGCTACCACAGAGGACGCTGTGGAAGCTAGTTAAAAAAAATACTATCGACACTGAACTTTTTATCACAACAGAAGTAATTCAGACCTACTCAATGCGGCAGCAATAAATGTTAGCAAAAGAGGAAGGAAGGTAGGTAAGACACGTATAGTAACAGACACTAAAGAACGAGAGGAAATTGAAGTCAGAAAGAAAAAAAAACAGAGAGTTTCGAGAGAAAAACAGAAAAAAGTTACAGAAAAATATATGTGGAAGTATACTCAAATATAACTTATTTTTATACTATTAATGTACAGGAGCAATAATATTAACTCTTGTATTAATAGACCTATCCCATAAAACAGACTTTTGGATAGCGCGTGCCTGAAGAAAAGTGGTATCTCTTTCTCTTTTATATAATTAAAAAAAGACGACGTGCCTTTTCACGCACGCGCTATCCAAAAGTCTGTTTTATGGAATAGGTCTATTGCCTTTATTAATAAACTTTTTCTTTATTTAATATTATTTCATAGCTTTTAAAATATCTCTTTAATTGCTTAAGTACTTACGTATTTACAACAAAAGGGGTCCTAAATGAATTTTTTTAAACTAGACGATCACGTGTTTTGGCCAAAGGTAGTTTTTTGTGGTTTTAATATTCTTTTTCTAATTATTAAAGTGTGCCCCCTTGCCCGATTCGTTACAAATTGGTATAGCTTTAGCTCTGATTCAGACAATGAGAAGGTATGAAAATATAGAGAAAAAGACAGCGATGATTATGATGAAGGGATAACAATTTCGGAGGTTGTTGCTTAAGAATTTTCAATACCATCCAGTTACCTAACCAAAAAGGCGAACATAGAAGCATTTACATTGCCATTACATCAGGGCTCTAATATCAAGTACCAGGGGCGCCGGAACGTTTTAAAAGCGTCTGTTGAGTAGGTCATAGTTTGGGGGGCATTTAAGCATTACGTAAGCAGGCTAAAGGGTTGGGGGTTCAATTATTATTTTTTTGCTGAGAAAAGGGGGGCTATTTTCTTATTTTTGCATAACGTATTTAATTTCTGAAAATGTTACTGACTTTGCTGGGTTAATTTTGAACCATGTCAGGGGTGACATCTGTGTTACATAGTGGGTTGTGTGTATCTCAGGAGGAACCTATTTTACTTTGTAAATGTTACCCATTATTAATGTTTCCTCCCCTAGGGGAGGCTGTAGCTACAGCCGCTATAGTATAAAGTTAATTTATAAATTTCAAAGATATTACTATTTATAATAAGCTTATATATTTAAATTATATTTTAGGATCCTGCAGGTTTCACACATCAAGTGGTAGGAGGAACCTATTTTACTTTGTAAATGTTACCCATTAAACCAACTCATGTCACAGATACAGTATCATATTAGTTTTTGTATACCTACTTAAAAAATTTAGCACCCCCCCACAGTGCGCTGTAATGAGACATACCGTTAGTGTGCCACTTTTGGGAATCCTTGTATAATGTATTTTTTAATTTAGCCTACAGCCTTTTGTATTAAAATAAAAAGAAAACTTACATGCGCCATCTCTTATGATTTTGTTTAACAAATATTTTAACGAGGATAATTATTATCAATAAGATATTATTTATAAATATTTAAATACACTAAATTTAAAATTAACAAATAAATAAATAATAATTAACTTAGACCAGTTTCCTCAAAAAAATACAACAACACGGATTTCCCCACTTTTGTTTAATGAAATCATTTGTGTTCAACGCTAATTTGCAATAACAATCAGTAGTAGTAGATAACTTCACGCAGTAACAAAGAAAGATGTTTAGAATAAAACAAATAGTGTGTGTGTTTTAATTACTGCAAATGAAAGTGGTGACAATAAAATATGTGCACAAATGAAACACGTACAAAGTGAAGATGTAACCACCGATTGTGATGAGGGATGTACCCAAGTAATTTTAAAAGACGATGAAGGTAATCTGGAGGTTGCCAAATTGGCAGAACTATGCGGTCGAGAGGGAATTTTGGACCCAAATAAAGCCTCTGTTAATATTACCGAATCCGAAGATGTTATTGTGGGTCCTGTTACACAGTTTTATGCACCTGTAACTATTTATCAAAATGTAAATGGTGAAATAAATGGTACAGAAAAAAATGAAGTAAATAAAAAGCTTCCTGAACCTATCACGGAAAGCTCACTAACGATTGTTAACGAGGATACACCTAAGTTAATAAACAAAGGTACGTAAGATAAATAATATTACTGTACCCTAGAACTTGTGAACTAGGTGCATATATAAATAAATGAGTAGGTACATATACCTATTAATATGATTATATATATATATATATATATATATATATATATATATATATATATATTTGTATTAATAAAAAATTTGTTTAATAATTAATAAATAGGAGTAATTTTATATAAGTTCAGAAAATAATTTTCCTCTAGAACTGGACGGTTAATATAAAATAAGTATACTTAATATTTTGTAGTTTTTATCTTTATGCTTATGTATACTAAAAATAAATTTTTATAGATAGTCATGTCTTGATATTGTGGTTTGTCTGCAACAACTATTATCGTTTATAATTCAATTGGATCGTTATATTTAATTAAATTAGGTAACTATTTTTCTCATAAAAATCATTTTGTTTTACAAAATTATCTAATCTCTAATTTTTTATAATAAATACATAAGATACAAAGCGAAAATGGTTCCCATGTGCATATACTAGTAGTAGTAGTAGTATGAGTAAAAAATCATCATGATTACCTGCAGGTAGAGTAGATCTACTACCTGCACCAATGTGATTGTTTACTCAGCAAAAAGGTACCAATAACCTCGACAAGTAAATAAAATCACACAATCACACCCATTCATTTTTGCATTAAAAATGAATTAAAAGTTTAATAAAACAAAATCATTGTTAAAATAGGTTTTATAAATTTAAATATGTAATTATTTAAAATTAAATGTGTATGTTATAATTACTAATAAAACTCAAGGTTAAAATTTTTAACTTAAAAATATGATTTTATTAACGCTTTATACAGCCAAGTGTTACCATGCACGGTGTGCCTAGCACTGATTCAACCCATGAACTAGTGCACATCTAAGATTTTTTCAGATTCTGTATCTGCATGACCTAGAATTATTTTAACAATAAAAATGAATATTTTCGGCCGAGCCGTTTTTGAGAAATTTACTTTTGATTTTTTTTGCAAAATGTAGAAAAATAAATACAAATATGTCAATAAACGTTTCAAAAAATTAATTTGAAGTGACCTTACATATTTATCAACTAAAAGTCTTCATAATATATAAAAACTTTTAGTTACTAACTACAATAACCTTTTATTTTATTGAAAAAAAAACCGTAACACAATTGGATTTTCCTTATGCGCGCGCATCATATCTGACTCACTGGTCAAGCGAGTCTAAGGTGAATGTATCTTGAGCTAATCTAATAAACTTAAGTCAGATTTCTTATTATTAATACGCATGTAGGCCTTTTACCGGAAAAATGTCTAAATATCATGCGCATGCGCATAGTGTTAATAGATTTAAATTTTTTGTTTTGTTTTTAAAGAAAAGCTGTTTCCAATTAAATATAAATTAAAACTTGTTAAGCCTATTTGCGGATTATGATGTTGAGAAAGAAAGTTTGCCTGCAGCCTTATGTAGTTCCTGCAAGATTAAAATATATAAAGCATAACATGGTTCTGGTAGAATGGAACTGAAGCTACCCATTTTGTCTGATGATGAGAAACAAAAGAGAGCAACACGATCTGAAGATGTTACCAAATATAGTTGTAAACTGTGTCAAATCTCTCGAGCCGTACTGGCAAATATTGCTCAAGCAACAAGTTGTTTTATACCAGAACAACACAAAAAGGATATGGTTGTTTCTTCGTCGGTGGAAAAACGGTGTAGTGTCTGTTGTACTATTCTGCCCTAGTAAGCCAAACCCCCGTATGTACAATATTGAGTTATAAGGGACAAAAGATCATTTTCATTGTTAAAAACAATAATAATTATCTGTTGTCCTTTATTACTGAATATTGCGAATACAGGGGTTTGGCTTAGCGCAGTATTCTAGCAAGAGGAAAACAAAATGTTTGCAACAAAGTTTCTCGAGTGCAGAATATGTCTGGATACTTGTCAACCCTGGATGAAAAATCTCAAAGCCAGGTAATTTAAAGTGCCCTTAAACGTAAAGTAAGCGACGTCGCTTACCTGGTTTGAGATTTTTCATCCAGGGTTGACAAGTATCCAGAAATATTCTGCACTCGAGAAACTTTGTTGCAAACATGTTGTTTTCATCTTGCTAAAATAGTACTACAGACACTACACCGTTTTTCCACGAAGAAACAACCATTTATTTTTTGTGTTGTTCTGGTATAAAATCATGTGTTGCTTGAGCAATATTTGCCGGTAAGTCTCGAGCGATTTGACACAGTTTACAACTACATTTTGTAACATCTTGGGATCGTGTTGCTCTCTTTTGTTTTTTTACATATTAAGACTTTTAGTTGATAAATATGTAAGATCACCTCAGAAAAAAAAAATACAAATGTAATATAATAGTACACTATTATAATAATATATTATTATTATAATAATTTACTCTATTAAAATTGCCTGTTTACAAATATTTATAAGGGTTATCATTTTAAGATAGCCTTTGGGGTTTTGGAAAATACAAAATTTTAATTTAAAATAATCATTCAAACAAAGTGTTTATACTTGACTATTTCCCTCGTCTTAATTTCCACCAATCACAAACGCGCAATTTTGAATTACAAATGGTTTCTAGGTGAAAAAACTGTGTGACAGCACCTGTCAGCAGTTTTTTCGAGTTTACCCGCGGCAAAACTTGACAGCTGTTGTCACCAAAAATTGCAATTTATATTTTAATTGTTAAGTGTTACTCATGAAATAGTCTTGTCAAATACCATTCGGGCATCTAATTTTTCCTGTGAAAAGAATCGAAAAAACACAATGCTAAGTAATATTTTTTTAACAAAATGCATTCGTGCAGGTGCAAAAATCCTCCTCTTCGACTCGGATTTTTGTTGCCACCAGCACTCATGCTTTTTGTTAAAATATTACTTAGCAACGTGTTTTTTCGATATTTTTCGGAAAAATTAGATGCCCTTATGATATTACTTACGATAATAATATACTAAAGTAAAAACTTATATGAGGTCCAAAAGACCGAACACGGAAAAAAAATGTTGTGGAAAGTACTACAATTGTAGAATTTTCTGGTATAAATTGTTTAAAAAATACGACCAAGAACAATTTGTTAGAAATAATTTAACAATTTTGTAATAAAAATAAACAACAATTTATTGAAGATATAATTATATATTGTAGTTAAATTACTACAATTTCTGTTTTAAATTAATATTGTTATATATTTTAATAAAATATTGTATTGACTAATGCCATTTAACATTTAAAATTTAACATTTAACATTCAACAGTAACTGTTATATGAATGAAACTACTGTAAAATGAGAACCTCTACTCTATGGGATAGTCCCTAAGTTTAGTAACAGATGGCCTCAGACTTCTGGTCAAATTCTTGAAAAATTCTGGCCACAGTCTGGCCCAAGTCTTGCCCAATGATCTTGATCAAGAATCTGGACCAATTCTTGATCAACAATCTGTTCCAAGTATTTTGACCCATGCTGGCACAAGGCTTTTCTCAAATTGCTACTAGGGGCACTTTCTTATAATAATTATAATTATTATATTATAATCAATAAAAATAAAGACAAACAGGCCAAACACGGCAAACACACTTTCCCAATGAGAACTGGCAAACGACTAATTCGGCGAAAATCCCTTTGCGCAAATCGGGTTTACCGACAATCATCCGAAAAAGTTCGCGTTCCGTTTTGTTCGGCGCGGGGTACTCACTAGCACAATTTGGCGCGTTTGGTTCGTTCGGAGTAATTTGTTGCAAGTCAGTACGTTCAGAGCTGGAAATTATCTAAGATAAAAGATACAATTATTATCCTAAATACTTAAAGTATCTTAAGATACTTTATCTTAAATACTTTTGAATCTTGGTATTTATATTTAATAGTTTAGATACATATTGAAAGTATTTGTATCTTGTATTTTTAAAAATTATCTTAAATACTTTAAAGTATTTCAAATACTTTTTTTAACTTTAAATACTTTACAACCGGCTATCAAGAAGTACACCATCAAGGAAAGGCGCTAGCAGCATACTAATCCACCCACCCCCATTCAGGAATACCAAATGAATGGGGTTATTACTAAAGCCCTGGTTTAGGAGGATTCCGGATTGTACTTAGTTTTGGGTCAGTTCAATGTCCTCCAAAAGCCCTTCCTAAACTGGACGTATGGCCCGACCCGGCTGACAAAAATCCCGGGAGCTGCCTTAACCTTTGACACTGTCATCCACGAACTCCTAGGGTGGATCTACCAGCCGGCGTAAAAACTTCGGATCCAACAAACACAGGTAATGCTGTGATTTGGCGGAATACGCAGGAGAACGGAAAGGGGGTAATATAACCCCGGGAGATCAGTGGATGACAATATATCTGGGGCTTGCCATACGTTCCCATACTCATACTCATACTCATATTGACTAATGCCATTCTTTATTAAAAATAATACAGATTTCCCGTGCTCCAAAATTGTGTACTTTAAATAAATTATACGTTGATATAAATGCTTTAAGTTTTAGTTAATTTCAAAACAATTGTATTAAATAATTAAACATGTTTTTTACAATATGGTTGTTATAAAATTTAATTTAATTTTTTTTCCGTGAATCTGTAACAAAGCACATTGACGAGGTTCTATAAGTTAAAAAAAATCAATTAGCTATTTAGAATGCATGAAAGTAACACACAAATTTAATTGCACGAAAATGTATTTTAAACTTCGATATTGTTTTTTAATAGCATTTCTACTAGAATAATATTCTATTTGCTTCTGTATGTTACAGCGTTTTAAACAGTCTGATACGTAAAATTTTATCACCTAGGTCCAAGGGCGTTCCCAGGTTTTTAAATTTTTATTTGGTTTCTGAGATTTTTTGCTTTAGAGTCATCTGCTTAACGTCCCAAAAAAGACTGACACATGCCTTAAAATTATATAGATAAAAAAGGTTTGAAATCGTTTTATTTGGTCATGTAAAGTTAACAAATTGTAGGAAAAAAATATTCACGTACTTATATTATT